GTGGGACACTCTTGTAGGACACTCTTGTGGGACACTCTTGTGGGACACTCTTACAGGACACTCTTGTAGGAAACCCTTGTGGGATACTCTTGTAGGACACTCTTGTGGGACACTCTTGTAGGACACTCTTGTGGGACACTCTTGTAGGGCACTCTTGTGGGACACTCTTGTGGGACACTCTTATAGGACACTCTTGTGGGACACTCTTAACTCTTGTGAGACACTCTTGTGGGACATGGTTGCGGGACACTCTTGTGGGACACTCTTGTGAGACACTCTTACGGGACACTCTTGTAGGACACTCTTGTGGGACACTCTTGTAGGACACTCTTGTGGGACACTCTTACGGGACACTCTTGTTACACACTCTTGTAGGACACTCTTGTGGGTCACTCTTATGGGACACTCTTGTCGGACACTCTTGTGGGACACACGTGTGGGACACTCTTGTGGGACACTCTTGTGGGACACTCATACGGGACACTCTTGTGGGACACTCTTGTAGGACACTCTTGTGGGACACTCTTGTGGGACATGCGGGACACTCTTGTGGGACACTCTTGTGGGACACTCATATACGGGACACTCTTGTGGGACACTCTTGTGGGACACTCTTGTAGGAGACTCTTGTGGGACACTCTTGTGGGACACTCTTGTGGGACACTCTTGTGGGAAACTCTTGTGGGATACTCTTGTAGGACACTCTTGTGGGACACTCTTGTAGGACACTCTTGTGAGACACTCCTGTAGGGCACACTCTTCGTACGAGACTTCCTCCAAAAGTCACGCTGCGAGACTGCAAGACGAGCGTTTCGTACGAGACTTCCTCCAAAAGTCATGCGTCAAGTCTCAAAAACGAGCGTTTCGTACGAGACTTCCTCCAAAAGTCACGCTGCGAGACTGCAAGACGAGCGTTTCGTACGAGACTTCCTCCAAAAGTCACATGTCAAGTCCCCAAAACGAGCGTTTCGTACGAGACTTCCTCAAAAACTCACATATCAAAGTCTGCAAAACGAACGTTTCGCACGAGACTTCCTCCAAAAGTCCAGCGGAAACATCCATCGGAGCACACACATCACGCAGCCCTGCCAAGCAGTTTCGCGAGTCCCAATGTGACAGCGACATTCACCTCTACCGCAACTCACAACCTCCCGATTCCCTGCGCCTGCCACGAATCTTTCCGCGTCCACAGGTCTAACGCGCACAAAGTACTGCGCCTGCCACGAAATGTCACCTCCGTCACACATCGCAACCTCACGATTCCCTGCGCCTGCCACGAAAATCCCACTTGCACACCTCAAAACCCGCACAAAGTCCTGCGCCTGCCACGAAAAGTAACGATGTCATCTCATGTGAGCTTCAACAAAATTTGCACCGCACCACACGTTTGGAATGATTTCGACCCGTTCTGAGCACACTCCCATCCACCAAAATCGGCATTTCAGCTGAGACTTGTCACGAAAACAGAGCTTCGATGCCACACCCTGAAACGCAAATCCCAATGGCACGGCCACATCCAACACCCCAAAAACACGACTCTCCAAACGCTAATCCCAATGGAACTGCGCAGCAATCTGCAGATCTCACCAAACGCTGCGCCTGTGCAGCGAAACGCATCACGTTGCTTGCGCGACATGTCTTTTTCATGCAAATCACAATGGAATAGCGGTGCAAACTGACACGTGACACATCCATGCAAAGTCACTTGCAAAAGCTTCCCCCAATGGCAGCGCCTTAGCGACCTACTGCGGACGGTTGCGGACGGTTGCGAACGGTTGCGAACGGTTGCGGACGGTTGCGAACATAGAAGCAACGGGTCGCGAACAAGACTCTACCCCCAGACCCCCAGAGTTAAACGAGAACCCTTCGCTACGCATTCGGGAAAACGAAGTGTCTATGGTGTTGAAATGATGCCGTTGATACTTAGGATGTCCACCAGATATGTCTGCTCTGAAGTGCGGAGCATGGCGGAACAACCGAACAACCGTTACTGGTATCCCGTTGACGGTCTGTCTTGAGCATCACAGTCGTCCTGTCGTTTTTTGGCAAACTTTCGGGATACAAAATAAGTTAATAAAGAAGTAGCTATGAATCATCATGAATCCAAAGCTCTTTGCATCCCATCCCATTGAGAAGTCGCACCAGCTGGATGCCGGCCCGCTATGGATCTCCCACTACACCTCTGAGGTGAAGAGGATGTCCAAGAAGTCTTTGACACCTCAAGACTTGTATTGGCTACACCAGCTGCCTTGCTACGCGAGCTTTGAGCAGTCTGATCACTGTTTCTTGGACAGGAACACTCACTCCTGACAGCCCACTCAGATCTTCCTTGTGGACTACTCTTGCCAAGCTTGCCAAGCTGCGAAGCCATGAATCCTCCGGGTAGTCCTGCTGATCGGTGTCTATACACAGAGTGGGAAACAAATCCAAAGCATTTCTTTGGAGACCAGCCTAGAACAGGCGAACTGTTTCCCAGTTCTTCTCGCGGCGGACGTGTGAGATCTCCTGCAGAATGGCATGGGCCTCCTCCAGCGTGGCACCATCAATATCTTGAAGAATTTCGATGTAGCCTGAGGATGTCATACGGCTTGGACAGCTGTTGGGCCGTCGGTTGACTTCAAGATACGGCATGATACGGTAGAATCTCTTGGCCACCAGACCAGGGCAAATGTGAGTTTTGCAAAACCCTTATCGAAAGAATCAACCTCGACTCTCTCGAAAATGCATTCCGTCTAATGAGACCTCATAACTTGGCCTCAGAATCTCAGAACTCTGGCCCAGAGGAAACCTTCCTTCACCGTCCCATCCAAGGAGCTTTGCCGCTCCAGCCAAATGCCACCGCCATCGTGGCACTCGCCACCTCCGAATGTCGCCTCAAAGATCGCTTCCACCTGCCCACGGAGCTCCTCGGCACGTGGCAGCTCAGGTGATCAGAAGTGGTTCTTTTCGCACAATTTAGTAGTAACAATGTTCGCTACTAGAAACAATTCTTTGCTTCTTTCTGATGCATTGAACGTGGGAGGGAAGTTGCAAACACATCAAACAACGGGTGCAATTGAAGCTCTTTCAAAGAGGGCTATAGCTCAATGCCTCAATATGACCCTCTCTTGACTCCTAATTGTCACCAAGTGGCAGTGCTTTCCAGACTGCGGTCAGTACTTCTGCCTTGCAAGGCACTGTTGCTCGGCACCCAAAACAATTGAACCAACAAAACATGAACAATGCAACGACTTCAGTCCTACTAGGTTTATATAGCTGGGGATTGTGAAATGAACTGTTCGGGCTTACAAAACCGCTACAACATCATGTCCTCCAATGCAAAAAGAAAACATACAAAATAGACATGTCATGACATTGCCAAGAGTGCATAGTCCAAGATTGGCAGAGTCCACTGCATCCAACCCTATCAGGCCCAATATTATAATTTCTATCTCTTATTATCTGGGCCTGATGGCATTATATTGATTTGTGAAGCGAACATTTCCAGGGAGACTGATATTCTATGTACTAGACGATTTCCAACCATGTTCACGTTTGCGATATGCCCTGATGCCGGATGCAATATAGGTCTGTTGGAAGGTGAAACCGATGTCCGTCAGGAACGGAGTTGCGCTGTCTCCATCCACGTCAACCGATGGACAGCACCAGAGGTTTGTGACCTGAACCCGACGGAACCTGCTGGAAGACGTGCGACCGTTCCATTTTCCAAGGGTGTGTCTTCCAACCTAGTAGCTTCTTGCTACTACTAGTAAGGCACCTGTTACTACTAGCGATGCACTTGTTACTACTAGCTTTTGCACAGTCGTAGATGTTTGTCGACCTTTCCCGATTGAAACGACAAAACCACCATATGACAAAGTGACAAGGTGCCCCAAAATAGGAAAGGGATCTGAATTTAAGCTCTGGCACCCAGAAAACCTCAAATGAGGAATAACACCTTTGTGATGCCAATTGTTGGCCATAGAAACACAGCAGCGCACCCCAAGTCCCTGGTGCCACAAGACGCGTCACACCTCCAGACGCGTCACACCAAGCCTGGGCGAGACGAACCTATCCACTGTCTGCCGCGGTTTAAACCGAAACAATTTGGTGTACATCCAAGCTCTTCGAACAATGTCCAAAAAAAACACGAAGCGCCCAAGAAAATTCAAATCAAGCTCAATGGCACAACACTTGACACTTTGGAAGAAGACAAGAGCCCAGGCTCTTCTTTGGCCGAGCCCGTGACCATCGTGGGCGAGTACATCGGCCTCCTCAGCCGCCTTGGAAACCATCCATTTTGGCCAACTGTCTCTGATTCTGAACACGAAACAAGATCCGATCTGTCAAGTTTTCATGAGCAAGGACGCTACTAGGGGCTACTAGTAACAAGAAGCTAGTGAATCGTCCAGCCGCACCTCGCTGACTGTGAAGTCGGCCTCCTGGGCCTCCTGGGCCGAGCTGCCACTGTCCATGACCTCAACGGTTGGGGACGCTGCGGAGAGCGAACGTGGCCAAAGGCTCCCAAAAACCCGACGAAACGCTGTTGATGCTTGTTACTAATAGCTTCTTGCTACTACTAGTAAGGCACTTGTTTCTACTAGCGATGCACTTGTTACTAGAAGCGATGCACTTGTTTCTAATAGCTTCTTGTTCCTAGTAGTAAGGCCCTTGCTACTAGTAGCGATGCACTTGTTCCTAGTAGCTTATTGTTTTCTATGACAAAATTAGAAGAAAGGGAAGTGAAAACACGCGCAGGAAAACAGCACTCATGTTCTTCAGGATGGTGAACATGCTGCATTGACCCCTTTCTCAGCTAGAATTGATCTCATGAGGATGAAACCAAGGAATCGCACTTCCACTGTCGGTCCATCTTTTACTTGAAGACCCAGCCCTGTTGTGGGTTCCACAAACTTGAAGACCCAGCTTTTGCAAATACACTTTGGAACAAACATGAGTGAAAGAATACAGTTCCAACAAATCCGGAGCCTTGGGTCATCCCAATGACTTTCAATGCCTTTCAAATATGAATCGCAGAGTCTCCAAATTTCTTGGACAACTAGGAACAAGGACATCGCCACTAGGAGCACGGACGCTACTAGTAGCTCCTGGCATCGCTACTAGGAGCAAAAGAGGCTACTAGGGGCTCCTGGCATCGCTACTAGGAGCAAGAAGCTTGGCTTATTGTTTCTACTAGCTTCTTGTTACTACTAGTAAGGCACTTGTTACTAGTAGCGATGCACTTGTTACTACTAGGAGCACTCCCAGAATCCCAGAATCCGTTCACCTCTGAGCGCTCCCACACACCCCAACACGCGCCTCGACACGCACCGGTTGGACACAGCCACGAGACCGGTGGAGCTGGAGCCCCTAGTAGCGTCCTTGCTCCTAGTAAGGCCAGGAGCCCCTAGTAGCGTTTTTGTTCCTAGTCGCGTTGTTTCTTTTTGTAATTTGTTTGTGAGTTTTTACGCCAAGCCCCCCGAAAGAGCCATAAATTTGGTTACTCTGCTCTGTAGAAGGGGTATCGGATGGCTTGGGGTGAATAAACAGTTGAACTTCTTCCCCAAATCCCAGTCGAAGTCTTCAGTGCTTGCTGGGAGGGAAGTAGGTTCTCAGATCAATGTGGCCTACAAATTGGAAACACGATAGAGAAGTGTCTGTGCCTCACCAAATTTCAATAACTACGGTTGCTGCGTTGATGTGTGGGCCAAAAAGAGAAGTCCTGGTGCATTCACAAATAGAGATCGTGCATTCTCCCACAAGTTTTGTTACCATGGGTTTGAGGCGAATGTGCACTTGTCTTTTTCAAACTTGGTGGACTGTTGACTGAAGAAACATAATGTGACTTTTGAAATGCATGATGTGAGTGGATTGTGTAGGTGTGGTGTGGTGCCTTCGCTGCGTTGCTGCAACTGTTACTTGAGAAGCGCTGCTGATGCTGCGGCACACATCGCATTCCTGTCGCTCTCAGAAAGTGTTGACCCAAACTTCGAGATCATCAACATCATGGATTGGCAGCACCAAGAGGGGCACATTGACGAAGCCAGGCATTCCAGTGGGATTACCCGTAAAGCGCAGCGCCTTCGCTGGTAGATTAACCCAGAAGTCAATTATGCAACATGAGGATCTCTATATTGGGGGTGTCCAGGTTAACGACTGATAGAATATAACCTATAAGACAGGCCCACTGGTGTGGACAATCGAGACCTTTCCTCCAACCACCGAATTGACCGGTCTTGACGACTCTGTTGGATCCCAAAGAAACACCGTTTGGAATGTGACGGTAATATATAACAGGCTTGGTGGGTACTGCTGGTAGTCACTTGATGTTCACACACGCCCTGCTGCCAAGCTCAATCCACTTCTCTTTTTCCGGTGCGATCCGGCAAGCTTGGACCTCACAGCGGCAAGCCCTTCTTCTCTCCATCACCCCTTTGTGAGAACCCCAAAACCAAGATGCCTCCAACCTACTGCATGTGCTCTTTGCACTGATCTCAACCGCATTGGCATTCTTTTGGAGGCCATCGCTTCTAGGTTGGAGGCCATCGCTAGTAATTAGGTTGGAGGCCAATACTACTAGTAGCAAGAAGCTACGCACGGTTGGAAGCCATCGCTTCTTGGATGTTTTGTCTTTCTGTCTTTCTTTCTGCCCCAGGCGAGGCACCGGCCGTAGCACCGCGGTCCAAGTGGCTAGGCCTCCAGTGAGACGACCGGCCTTTCTCTTTCGCTTGCTTTGCGTACCTCGCCTCTCCAATTTGGTTCTTATGGAGAATGGCGAGGTGGAGGTGGTATCATGTCTATGTGGTGATATGTGGCTTTCAATTGTAGCCATTTGCAGCTCTCTTCGCTTTTCTGCTCGAGCGCAAGAAATTCACACCAAGTGGCTGAGGCACGTGGTGGCACCATGATGGACATCAGCCTCAAGACACCTCCGTTGAGCAAACGCATGCAATAAGCATCTGCTCATTTCAGTTGACAAATTCCTTCACCAATTTTGATTGGCCTTGATTCTTATACATGTTGGTATGGGTCTCACTCAACAACAAGATCGGCTCCGGGGATGCCCTAACAATTGATTATTACCTTTTAGGATGTTTCATCACTCTTGCACTGCGACCCTGAAGATTACATACCACGTTCACAGTGCCCATCTGTTGTCCCTTTTGTTTACCATTTTTTTAATTCCCTTTAGACCTAGAAGGCCCTGAGAGAGCTTCCCTTCTTACCCAGTTGTGAGCTGGCTAGCCTGCTCTCACTTTCTCCTCCTCGCCGGAGATTTGCAAATGTACCCACCTCACATGCACAAATAGGAAACCACAAAATGCTTGTCATCAATGATTAACTTATGTTTTCAAGTGGAGCTCCTAAATGGAGGCTTTCAACATCCAAAGAGTCCCCCACAAAGCTCGTCGCTGCAGTTCGCGCCTGGAGTCTCCCATCTCAAGCCGCTCCACTTGAAGTCCATTGGACTCCAACATCTCCAGCCTGGCGGAGTCGTTGCGTTCGACAAAATCTTTGGGTGGGAGGCCATCGCCATCGCTACGGACGGACATCGAGCTGGGTGGTCGAGGCCGTGAAAACATGGATGGGACCCGTCAAATGTGTGTCGCTCTGAAACATCACAAATGTTTGCTCCAACAGACTCAAAGTGGGTCTTTGACTTACCCGGTGTGAACCCCTCACTCTGAAGATGACGACACCCTGAGGCCCTCACCAACCCTTCTCCTCAAGTTGGCTGAAGAGATGCTCCGGGACGGGGAGACGTTGCCTCAGCAAGTTCCCATGTGATGGGTCTCTGTAGCTTGTCTCTGTTTTCTTCGTTTCTTCTTTTGGTCTTCCTTAGACCTTTGGGTGCCTGTAGACTTTAAGACCTCTTTCCTCATTTTCATTCATAATGCCAAGTGTTAAGGTTCCCTAAAATCTAGGAGCCAAATCATTGGTGCGAGCGTGAGCTATCCTGCGTCCAGATACTAGAAGCTAACTAGTCGCCGTGAGCGTACTCCGTTACTTAATTAAGTAGGCGCCCACTTAATTAAGTAAGGAGGCAGGGCCACCGGCCAATCCAAAGAAAGCTACTATAGCAACACCTAAGATGGTCTGTAGCTTGTGAGGTAACTCTTCGGGGGCCGAATGCCTCGGCCTCCATCATGGCAACATTGCAGGTAAGTGGGAGAATTCCAAGATGAGTATGAAATGCTCAGGTGTCGCTCAGCTTATGGCGAAGGCAAACGACTTCGACGCTCCGCGAGCTCCTGAGATTGAGCTGACTGAAGCAGCTGAAGTCTCCCGGAACATCTCTGAGATGCAAAGTTTGGTCAGGACCAATGGACATAGCGATGGCCTCCAAACAATCTTGCAAGATCTTGCAAGCTAAATTCCCTTGCTGGAAGCGTCTCTACCTGAGACCGACAGCACCCGAGACCGGTTCAGTCGACCCACTCGTTGAGCCTGGCTTTTCCGGTCTGCGATCTCTTTCGCCTCCTTCAGCATCTCGATGGTCTGGCAAACAGCGGCTCGTCAGCAAAAACAGGGTCCATGGTCGACCTGTTGACAGACTTGGGCGGATTGTTCGTTGACTTCCGTTTCTGAAACATCTTGATCTGGCCCGTCTCCACCATGGCAGCCAAAGAAGGATTGGGAAAACAAACCACGAGCAGTGGGATTCATCTTCGCATCTGGATGTCCTCGATGGCCCACGCATCAGGGTGATGTCAACAAAATAACATGTGAATCGGAAGGAATGTTGCATTTTTTACTTGCCCTTAATTACTTGTTTTTCACTATTTGTTTGCATGCCAAACATGTGGCATGTCATGGCCTTCGCCCGGTTTGAAGGGTTGCGGCGCATGGAGGTCTTCGGGGAGATCCCGGCGAAGGGGATCGCGTTCGATCCATAGCCTGGCAGGGTGCACGAAGAAGAGGTTCTTCTGGTTGCACGGTGTCCTGCAAGGTGCCTAAAGGGTGCCCTGAAGGGTTGCAGAAAGGTTGAACAAGTTGAAAGATCTTATTACAACTCTCAGCTTCAATCAACTGAGGTTATTTGAGATGTGCAACAATTCCAGGGGTGTTATGGTTGTGGCTGGAGACTGCACTCAAGAGACCGTCGTTCTGCATGGCCACGTAATTCATGTAGAGCCGTAGAGCTCTATTTCTGGAAGTTGAGACAAATTCAAAGCGACAAAGGGTAGGGTGCCGTTGCTTCTAGGTTAGAGGCCATCGCTCTTAGGTTGGAGGGCTCTTAACTCTTAGGTTGGAGGCCATTGCTATTTGGGTTCAAATGCAACTCGACAAAGGGTGCCAACCGTTTGCCAAGGTGTTCCGACCTTCACCAGGAGTGTAGGGTCGAATGCCTTCTGGAAGAGGTGGATTGACCTTCAAAAGATGCACCAGAACGATCAAGATCTTCAAATCGGACAACTGCCTAAACTATCCAAAACTGCCTCTGTGCAGTTTCAGAATCTGCCTCTGCCCCTTCTGCGCCCCATGAATCAGACCCCCTTTCATCTGATTTCATCCCCCCCCCAAGACTCCTCAAGACTCCTCAAGAAGGTTTGAGTCTTGCACCAAGTCGGCGTTCCGCTCTTTGCCTTTCTTCACCACAGGTCTCACTTCAACCGCCTCGCTGTGCATCCCACGGTGCCACTCTTAAAAGATACATCACAGCATGGGTAGAGAAGACCACAGGAAGGTGAACCCAGTAGCCATGGCCTCCAACCTACTAGCAATGGTAACCCAAATACCCGGTGCACCGTGGTAGCACCTTTTGCCTTTTGAGACTTGAAGCTTGCCATAGCTTGCCTCTGCCAAAGCCATCTCCTCTCTCTCCGACTCATCAGTTTTCTCGGGTTCGTCCTCTTCTCTGAGATACTCCAAGGGTTCTGAGGCTTCCTGGCAGAAAGCGGGAGCAGCAGAAAGCTCTGGAGCTCTGGAATTGAGCTTTCTCTACGGCATGTTTTGTGAAAGGAGGAGCACTTTCTACCAACCAACAACTCAACTAGCAATTCCCAAACACCTCATCCTCGTCGTTCTTCAAAAGCACCTCCTTGGTCGCACGGCCCTCGCCTTCCAGGTTCAAATAGCCTATACTAAACACGCAAGACATTGGACACTTGTCCCATCAAACGACAAGAGCAAACGATGAGCAAACGACGCAAGATTCCGGAGGGGACTCGAAGGCTTCGTGTGTTCGTTCCGTGATCTCGCGATGGCTTCATGGACTCTCAATGGCATCGAAGCTTCCAGTGACTGCATTGTGTGCACCCCTTTGCTCCTAGTAGCGTCCTTGCTCCTAGTAGCGATGCCTCTCAATTCCTGCACGGCCTGCGCGAAGGCGCGTGAGACGACGAAGAGGGCGCGTGGCCCGAAGGGTGCGCCGCTTCCAACGGCGGACGAGCTGAAGCACCTGGTGGGTGAAAGCACGTGGTGACCGGAATCCCTACGTGACCTGGCTAAAGCAACTGAGTAGCAACTGGCTGCTAATAGGTTGGAGGCCATTGCGTAATTAGGTTGGACTCCATGATCTTTCGTGCTTCATGTGTGCTCCGAGTGGTCTGAAATGGGCTTGACCCAGTAGCTTCTTGTTACGAGTAGTAAGAATGCTACTACTAGCGATGCCAGGAGCCCCTAGTAGCGTCCTTGCTCCTAGTAGTAAGGCCAGGAGCCCCTAGTAGCTTCTTGTTACTAGTTAAGAACTCAAGAAACCGCATTACATCACTACATGTTGCGAGTTCACGTGCAAAGTTGCCTTTCAAACATAGATCGATGTCCTTCACAAACCAAGGTTTTTGGACTGTGTGAGGCACCACAAAGGTCGTCAAGCCGCGTTGCAGGCCATCTCGTAGGTGGTGCCTTCCAAACAAACCAGACAGTTTAGACACAATGAACCCAACCATTGTGGTTCGGTTTAGGCAAAAGTCTTGTTTCACACCGGCCCAACCCCGGATTCAAAAAAAGTGAACACTCTCCAATGAAAAGCAACTGTCGATGTAACTGGCACGATTGAAACTGCTTTACCAGTTCCACCATCAATGGTCAAACATGGTCAAAAGGATATGAAAGGATCAGGAGCAAGGACGCTACTAGGGGCTCCTGGCATCGCTACTAGGAACAAGAAGCTACTAGGGGCTCCTGGCCTTACTACTAGGAGCAAGGACGCTACTAGATACAGATACAGGCGTTGAGAAGATCAAAGCAGGTCAGTCCCCCAACACCAAACTGGGAACCCCGACATACTGAAGCCACATGCACTTTTATCTTGTAAGCAGTGGGGACATGCTAGTAGCCACTAGGGCTGCTTGCCATCTCTAGGTGAGCGAGTGGGAAAAACATAACGACGGACACAAAGACTGCTCAGAAAGAACCCAAAACATCAACTGCACAAAGGGGGAGCCCTTTCTCTTCAAAGCTCTGCAGGAGGCTCACAAGTGCGCGTCGCTCGCTTCATTTTTGAGTGGTCACTCTGACGGGGCACAGTGAAATTGCCCCTCTGAGAAGCGAGAAGCGTTGTCATGAGAAACACCCAATATAGATCGTATTTCCGCTACTAGGGGCTCCTGGCCTTACTACTAGGAGCAAGGACGCTACTAGGGGCTCCTGGCCTTACTACTAGGAGCAAGGACGCTACTAGGGGCTCCTGGCCTTACTACTAGGAACAAGAAGCTACTAGTAACAAAGTTAAATCATCCTTTTCATCCTTTTCTGCTTTAGATCTTTTCATTAAACAAAACCTGACGGAACAGCACCTTGAGCTCGGCAGGTTGGCAGGCACCGGATGTGGGCATGCCTGGTGTTTCGAACCGACTGGAAGCAAAGGAGAAGGCCAGAAAGCTGAACACTTGGCAAAAACGTCTCATGAATGATTCTATGGTTCTATGATTCATAGGTTATCTCAGCACTATTGTGTCCAAATGTTCCCTCCTCCCTCCCCGTCCCATTTGCTGTTGTGCAACCATGTGCAACCCCTCCTCTGTGTAGGATCCAGGCCGCCCTTAGCAAGCTGAGGCGCGGAAACCCACCAGCAAAAGCACACCAACAGCCAAACATGAATGCGGAGACATGGGCAGAAACAAACGGAGGCTTTAGTTTGCCCGATTCTGCTTACTAAATCGTTCTCTTTCTTTTGTTCCTTTAGACCGACAAAGAGGCTTGCCTGATTTCTTATCTTTTTCTTCTGCCGTCTTCAGACCGTTTTTTTTTCCGTTCTTTCTTTCAGACTTTTCGACCTGCCACGTTGAAGAAAAAAGGCGTTGATTCTTTGGAGAGCTCCCTCTGAAATCTCCAAGGTGCACTGAAGAGGACCAGGCTCCATAGCTCGAAAGATCAATCCTACCTGGGGCAATTCCTGGCAATGCCTAGTCTTGTAGTAACAAGAAGCTAGTAGAAACAAGTGCATCGCTACTAGGAACAAGTGCCTTACTAGTAGTACGTAACAAGAAGCTAGTCCGTTTTTTTTTCCTGAACGCATCAACCCTTTTTCCATATCTCTGTTCAGAAAGCTGAACTGATCCAAGTCGCATTAGGAGAGCTTGGGGGGGGGCAAACATGACGCAGCATTTCATTTGCACATCATGGAGATGTTGCGGAGTTGGTAAATCCCAGCATTCACTTGCTGTTGGAAGGACAGACTTCACATGTTTAGTGCTTCCCATGTTTCTCAGGTTCACTGGTCGAGCCGTGCTTTTTGTGAATCATCAACTGGTCATGAAAGCCAAATGTGGAAAATACGAAGCAAGACTCTTACCTAAGTCGTTTCCTCTTCGCCATCAGGAACACAATCGTGACAAGAAGGGCCAGCGTGCTGCCATTCATCTCTCATGCTTTGTGGAATCAAACGAGTGCCATGACGCATGAAGCTTCGTTCGTCGTGTCTGCACACCGTGAAGAGCAGAAGAATGGGCCGCACGCACACGCTCTCGACACGTCTTTTTGGCAATGGAAGCTAGGATCGGTTGGCTGGATGGGATCAAGGCGATCGGGCGCCAAAGACTTGAACATCACTATGTGTTTAATGTAATTTCAAATCATCACGTCTATATGAACCATTTCGAGTTTTATTGGAATCTATCTTGAAGCTGCAACCTTTCACCTAAACATCTCTCCTTTTGGTCGGATTTCAAGACGGATCCTTCGGTGTTCTGTCGCGGCCCTAGCAACTCAGACGGCCCGACCTCGGATGGTCCCGATGCGCCGCAAACGCTCGGCTGTTCCGGATTCCGCTGTGGATGAAACGATCAGATTCGCCCAGCGGCTCTAGATCTTCATCCAAAGAATTGAACGCTTCTTCTCCTGGATCAGAGGGCACCCTTCGATGAAAGATGGTCGGTGGACTGTGCAGTGCTCCGACGGTATGGCTGCGTCGTGCAGATTTGTTCATCACCAATTGTTTGTGTGAGCTAGATTGGTTTTCTTAGATGTTGCTCCTTGGCATATCAAATTCGCATATCAAAACTAAACTGTTTTTGCTTGTCAAAGAAACCACGAAAGGAAAAGGCGAACAAACTGAAGTAGCTGCTCCGCTGCTTCGCCTGTTGGAAGAACTCGATCTTGAACTTATCCCCTGGAGCTCCACGAATGACCCAGGACTTCTCCTGTGGATCTTGGGACACCAAGAAAACCAGATGCAGCTGGTTTCACCCGCAAGCTTTTGCTGAGAAGATCTTTCAAGAGCGGAGCCAAAAAGCGATGTTGAACAAAAGAGAACAGCAAACATTTAAAACGCGTATGGGGAGTTTCTTTTTGTGCCAAGAGAATCAAACGTTTTAGCCAAGATTTGTTTCTGTAGCCAAGATTCTTGAGCTTTTTTCGTTTTTGTGCCAAAACACATGCCTCAAAACGTTCTGCATACGGCAAGCCCGCCGTCAAGACAGCACGTGCCTTGGGAGCCGTCTTTGGGCCTTGAACTTGCGCCACCTGCACCACGGGGGGGATGCGCTGAACCAGGTGACTCGTCCGAATCGTTGACAGAGCCCTGAGACTGCGTGTGATGACCATTTTTGAGAGAATGCACGCATTTAAACCACACATGAAGTGCTTTTTAATTACAAAGGAAGAAAAACGGTCTAAAGAAGAAACGAACAAAAATGCATGTATTGACTGCATGTATAGACGTCGACTCGTGTCAAATTGACTAGATTGATGCACTTGTTCCTAGTAGCTTATTGTTACTACTAGTAAGGCACTTGTTACTACTAGTAAGGCAAGTAAGGCACTTGTTACTAGTAGCGATGCACTTGTTCCATGCTGTGGGGAAATCGTCGACCCGTCGCCTTGGAAGCGCAGTTCGGCCGTTCGGGGCAGTAGACCTGGCCGATTGGCGGATATGGGCCCGATAGATGGCAGGAGCGGAGAAGCGGATCTCAAAGCCTTTGGATCCATTAAATTAGATTTAAATACTAGTAGTAACAAGTGCCACGCTAGTAGTAACAAGTGCCTTACTAGTAGTAACAAGAAGCTATTAATCTAATTTAAATTTAAATTAAATCTAAATAGCTTCTTGCTACTACTAGTAAGGCACTTGTTACTACTAGCGAGGCACTTGTAATTACTAGCAAAGGAATCTACCTAGGACCTTGCCGTTTTGTATGATCTTTGATGAGATATCTTAGTTGTTTTACAAGACCGTGTGTTGATGACTCACAGGGATTGGTTGGAAGCAGGCAGGGTGAATTCTGAGCCTTCTCATCATCGTTGTCTGCCATGATCTGGAAGTGCTCCTGAGCCGCAAGAGTTCTTGTTAAAGGTGGTTTTGGGTCTCGGCCCTATCATAGTAGCTATTGAAGTAGGAAGCTTGAACCAATTAAATAGCCATGGCCTTGGTTTTGGCCCCTTGCCCCATATCCATCATCTCTTCTGCAATCGGAAACAGATCTAAGTCCGAAGCCACACCCGTGCTGCCAAGAACAATCTCAGCCACCCAAAGCCCCAGCAGTGAATCCGACCTGCTGAGCGACGAAATGCTCCACGCCGTGGCATGCCGCGGCAGTGTGTTCGGTGACATTGAGCGCGACCCAGTTTTGCGACATCGTCATTTGGATCGTGTATCAAGTGATCTCAAGTGCCCATGTGGTTGAACACACTGCATCGATTTTCGGCAAGTTGGCACCAACAACTGGTTACTTGAGACCAACTCCAGAAAACAATTCACCAACTGTCGCGTCATGGCATGAGACGCCATTGATAAACCTCCTTTGAACGAAACTTGATCTTCCGACCTGGGCTAATTGTCCCTCTGCAAAATTGTGCCCCTGTTCCTTCTCTGGCCCCCCCCGTGCCTCTCCATCGCTTCAGCATCCCAATTGTTAAACCTCAAGGGCTGCTGCATGCGATATCAAAAGCATTGAACAACACCTATCACCTATCTGCCTTTCTGCTGCCAAAGGACGTGCCCTGAATGAAGAAGTCATCGCCCCAGTCAACAAGCTCCTGCAAAACTCAAGCAAGAATCTACCGAAAAGCCTGTGAAAAGGTCTTAGAGCCAGTGAATCCCCTCCGCGTGGTATCAAAAGGAACATCTTCGCCAATCCGAGTGGACGTGTCGACTGCTCATACTGCTGGACACTTCAGCGACCTGGTTTCCGGGCATTTCGTTTTGATCAACGCCCGCTGAAAGACCACAGCAACTTGTCTGTTCTGACCACCCAACTTCCCAACAGCTTCTCCTCGTCTACCTTTTCCCAAGTGGCCACGCCATCCTGCAAGCCACAAACGACACTGTCAGTGACTCTGTTCGCAACGGCACCTTCGTGACTCGCGCCGCTTCCGTTTCCCACCTCATCGAGCTCGATCATGTATCGGTCGCCGATCTCGCCAGCAGGGTCCAGCCTGACGCGAGAAGGCATGGAAGCAACCGTACGGAACAAAGCGCGTTCCAGAGCCCTATGGAAAAGAAAAGTACCATCTGGCACCATCTTAACTGCCCATTCTTTTGGTTTCCCATTGGCTCAGGACTCTTACAGTAAACAATTCTACCCGATCTCCACGGACAGCTCCTCTGAGCCTCAGTGCAAAGGAGAGTGCCCGTTGGTAATGCTTTTCTTTTAAAGCCCGCTCTTCGGTTGGAGGCCATCGCTGCGAACGGAGCGATCGGACGCTATCGATGGTCGTCTGAGGTGCCCTGGCCCAGTGGTCTCCCAGTCCCGCACATCGTCACCGTTCATGGTGATCTCCGCCGGAGGCGCCTCACCGAGCACAAGCACCTCTAAAACATGCAGTTTGATCCGCTATTGGGTTTCTGGCAGGTGTCAGTTTGAGCCCACATGAAACATGCTAAACTTGCAAATAAAGTAGAGGACGCTACTAGGAGCAAAGGGCATCGCTACTAGGAGCAAGAAGCTACTAGGAGCTTTCAAGATACCTTCTGGACCAGGTGGAGACTGTGAGGTACTGGGCACGACCGTGGGGTACCAGGGGGCGTGTGGCTCACCGTGCCGTGCGCCGTGCGCCGTGCGCCGTGCGCGCTGTGGCGCCGCTGCACGGCGAGTCTGGCCTTGGCCAACTTTCGTTCGAAGAGCTTGATGGGATCGGAGACCATGCACCCACGCGAGTTCATGATGTTTTTGCCCCAAGCCTGAGCCAAGGTTCAGGTGCGAAAGTTACTGCAGTTAAAGTTACTTATCTTTACTGCAATGAGGGCAGGCTGGAAGTAGGTTATACAAGTAGCTACGTAGCTACTACAGCAAAAAACCTCAGGCTTCTTCAACGAAGCTCCCCCTCCCAGGGTGGTTTTTATCAACTTCCTTGAAGAAGTCTGAACCCTCAAAGATTTGGTTTAGACTTTTTCAAAGGGGAAACAAACTTCCCTTTCTGCATCGCGAAGTCGACTCGTTCGTGTTGGAAAAGCGAGACCGGTGTTGGCTGGAGCTGGCGGCAGCGAGCTGCGGCCGTGGTGCCTCGGCATGGGCATTAGTGCCACCAAAGCCGAAGGAGGAGACACCTGCATAGGCGGCGTCCTGATGGAACTCAGTGCGAGATGAAATGAGATTCCTCTGCAGCTGACGATGGAAAACGCTTTATACACGCAGCTCAAGTCACATGGCTGTCAGTCAAGTAGGTTTGACCTCCCATGTAGACGATTCTGTTCCTTTTGATGGGTCTACCAAGGTCTCCCGGTTTTGACTCCTACGTAGCTATCCCTGGAACGCTACTAGGGGCTCCTGGCATCGCTACTAGGAGCTTTCCAGTCATTCGTCATATGTTGGCTCGCCCCTCCTCTCGCAACGCCAGGGATTCTGAGAGGATCTGGCAGGGGAAGCCCTGCAGCATTTTGGTTCACAAGAAGCTCAAGAAACGGACGAAAGGTCTAATAATTAGGGCTAGAAGCTACTAGTAATAAGGGCATCGCTACTAGGGCATTACTACTAATTAGTAACTAGAAGCTACTAGGTTGGAGGCCATCGCTCTTAGAAACAAAGAAAAAAAGAAAAGGAAGAAAGGTCTAATATTGTTTGCTCTTAGGTTGGAGGCCATCGCAAGTAGGTTGGAGGCCATTCACGAAGCCCAAGAACACGCCTCAGGGATGATTGGACCCTATCCAAAACCACCAGTTTCACAGTGTTGTGAGGTTTGATGGTACCCTCTCCGGTCTACCGCGGAATCATTCCTGCGCTAGAACTCCGCACATACATGGCACATCAGAGCTGGCCAAAAGAATCGTCTCAGCGCCTCCATATCCAAGTGCGGATTTCGAACCTGCCGAGGATGGGCAGTTTTGGCTGGAGGTCCCAACAACAGCTTGCCATGTACCAGAAATACCAGTAGCGATGCACTTGTTCCTACTAGCTTCTTGTTACTACTAGTAAGGCACTTGTTACTAGAAGCTTTGGGCTGGAGGTCCCAACAACAGAAATACCACATGCCGAAAGTCTGGAGGTCACGCCTGAAACATATACTTTACCCTGGGTAACTACCCTGAAAACAAGACCATTGGGGACGTCACCAATGATGCGGGCACAGAGCATTGCTTGGTGTTTTTTGTAGTATTCTTGCAATTTCTTCCCAGCACTTCCATAGAAAGATCAAAGCAAGAATGCATTGCATTCTGTCCATTCTTTCTGGGCCTTGCTTCTTTTCCTTCTTTCTGTTCTTTTTCTATTCACAGGCTGAACAGTTGGAGCATGAACTTCCTCGTCTTCCCACCCCAAACTGCACAGCTTCTAGCCATCAGGCTGATGCAAAACGCATCTCCAGTTGCCTTTAGGTGGACATTGGCGGCACCCTCGCAGTTGGACACCTCACAACCGAAAAAAGGGCTCCAACAGAATGGTGGTTACGGAATTTTTAGATGAAAAAAGAAGAAACGCAGCAGTAATTGGCTGGTGAAGCACTTCAATGCATCACCAAAGAATCGAATCTCAAAGGCTGTCCTGGCCCCTCAGCAGTCATCCAAGTATACCGAGGCAATGACTTGCAAACAGCACTTGAAGAATCCGGCCAAACCAGCACCTGAAGCATGGTGAACAGCGGCAATAGCGGTAAGTAAGGGGAAGGGCAAGAGGTCAACATGCTACTAGCTTCTTGTTACTACTAGTAAGGCACCTGTTACTACTAGCGAGGCACTTGTTACTACTAGACAAGAGGTCAACATCTACAGAGTTCCAGACTTGTAAACTTGTGATCTATTAGGATAACTTTGGTTGACGAACACAATTCCCGCACCACTCTGCAATGCTCTGCAACCTTGGATTCCTGTACACACGCTAACAGTATAAACACAAGACCTTTCCCAGTGCCTTTGAAAGAACGCGCAACAGACCAGCTTTGTATCAACGTTCCATTCTACACCAGTGAGGTGGACCACAGTCGACAGTGACTCACCGACCCTAAGGACCCGTGAAAATCAGGACCGGGGTCTTTCTTTAAACAAAGTCCTCAAGTGCCAATTCATGCCTTTTAGGGTTCAAACATGTCTCAACTGTACAGCCCATTAATCAAAGGCGATAAGCTAACCTTCTAGACTGCCAGAAAGCCTGAGGTTTGGAAAGTCTACCTCCTTGTACGACCAGAAAGAACACGTTTCCATACAAGAATGCGACTCGTAAATCCTAGATTTCTTGGGATGCTTTCTGTTGCTACAGTCAGGTAGGGCCTTGGCTCTTGCGGGTACACGTTCAGTTTATAGTGTCCTTCCTTTCTTATTTTGCCCTTAGACTATTAGTAACAAGTGCATCGCTTCTAGTAACAAGTGCCTTACTAGTAGTAACAATAATTCACCGTAATTGGCATTAAGTTACTTTAAATTAGAATTAGATTTTAATTATTAACATGTGACCTTTAGACCTTGCAAATCGTTTTTTTCCAATTCCGTATCCGATCGCCCCGAACACCTGCATCCGATCCGGTCAATCTGGCCTCCCTCGGCGTGGGCGATATTGGACTTGGAAGACCTCAGGCGAAAAGAGCTCGCTCTGCGTCCGGGGCGACCAGGTGGCGTATTACGTCGGGGCTGCCTGAAAGCCGACTGCAATACACTGGTGCAAACCTTTGAGTCTCTCCTGAGTCTCTCCTGAACTCATCAACCCTGCCCTCTCCTGAACTTATCAAACAAGAAGTCAACTCAGGTAGGAGAGGTGGCTCTAGGTCACGCACGCGCATCGGGTGAACATTCCAAAACATGAACACAACAAGCAGAAGACTTGGGGGGGCGGCCTTGACTTGTGACTCGTACAAGTTAGACTGGTGACTAGACGAATGCTTGGAGTTCTCAAGCTACTTTTGAGATATGTTTCTCCTGAGAATGTTTCACCCCATCTTTGAGCTAAACGTCCAACCCTGATGAATTGAATTTGGACTGAAACAAACACCTCCCCGTTCACGACACGCTGCATGACATGCCACGCATGTGCGACGCATGTGCGACGCACGGGAGGCGCATGCTTTCCTACGGCGTGGTGCAGTGAGTGAATCAAACCATCGGTAAGTGCCCGGCGTGATCACCAGCGGCTCCTTCCGCGGCGTTGCACTCATCACCTGCCAGTTGATCAAGAGTTGTGCTTCTTGGTAATGAGAAATACGACGGCAAACTCGGAATGCCCGTGTTTCTGTGCCTTACCCCTGGTTACTCCTTAGAAACTGGACACATCATGCTTTCTTCACCCATTACCCACCCAAAAACGCACACGTTTTACAGGACAAATTGGGAGTTTCGTCCCGTCTTCCCCGTCTTGTCGCACAGCTCATGGCGCAACTGGCCTTTTTGAAGGATCCAACCTCGATGGGATCGCCCAAGGCCCTTGGTGCAGAGACATGGTCCACGGACACGCGGACGAGCAGAAAACGGACGTCCGATGGTGAGAAGCACATGTTTCCGGAGGATGACCGGGTAGAACGCTTGCAGTCTAGTCTTCCGAATGAACAAACGAAAGAGTGGTTTGGTGCCATGATGGCCTGTGGCATCATTTTGGTCTTACCCTGGCATGAGCTAACAAACTTGGGATGGTTTGGTGCTTGTTCCTACTCAGCTCTCCACGCTCATGATGGATGCAGCATAATGCCCACATCCATAACTTCCCACTCACTCATTCACTTGTTACTAGTAGCGATGCACTTGTTTCTAATAGCTTCTTGTTACTACTAGTAAGGCACTTGTTACTACTAGCGTGGCACTCATTCACTCATTCATCGCGTAGACCCCTTGTTCCAACCACTCAGGTGCATCTCATCTCATTCACTTAGTTGGAGTTTTGGCTGGAAGGGTGGCAGAAGAAATGGTATTGAGCACCCCGGAACGCCGCAACAACCAAAGAAACGCAACCAGCTCTCCCCACATGGCAGTGGAGGAAGAACAAGAATCTGCTTGAAACCATTGCTAGTAGGTTGGAGGCTATAGGTAGTAGGAGCAAGGACGCTACTAGGGGCTCCTGACCTTACTAGTAACAAGAAGCTACTAGGGGCTCCTGGCATCGCTACTAGGAGCAATGACGCTAGTAGGTTGGAGGCCATTCTTCTATTTGAGGCCATTACCCGTGCTTTCCACCCGTGCGTCCTGTGCGTCCTGTGCGTCCACACGTTCCAGTGCCGTGGCATTCGATGCAATCCACTTCAGTGGGTGTGAGCTTACACTCTCGCAGCACGGCCTTGATGCACTTCTCCTGAAAGGAGTCACCAAGTGAGAATGGCCAGGTATGGAGTCTTCTGCCTTGATGCAAAAAAAACACATGCAACAAATAAACAATTAATACAAAGAAAACAATAAATTGAAGATGAAAGAAACCAATTTGTAGAACAAAAAGAAGAAAACATGACAATGAGATTGTTTCTTGGGGTCGTGGTTTCAAATGTTTGTTCGTTTTGGACCTTTTTTCTTCTCTCCTCGTTTTGTGTTGAATTCAAACAAGTGCAATCTTATTTTCTTTCCGTGGGAGGCCATCGCTACGTCGGAGGCTGTTGCTCTTAGGTAAACACATAGGCTCTTTCTTGATCCCCTCGGTCCCCTCGTGACGTGTCCCCTGCTCCTGTGCTGGCCCGTTGGGTGCTGTCAGACTTGCACTTCGGCCATCCTGCGCAGACGTGTCGTTGAACGGGTGAGGCTCGGTGTGTCTCAAAGATGGGAAGCTCAACACGGTCATTTCTATTTTTTGGCTCAAGCCCTTTGCTACTAGTAGTAACAAGTGCCTTACTAGTAGTAACAAAAAGCTACTAGGAACAGGTGCATCGCTAGTAGTAACAAGTGCCTTACTAGTAGTAACAAGGTTCGCTACTAGAAACAATAAGCTAATAGCCCTTTGCTCCTAGTAGCGTCCTTGCTCCTAGTAGTAAGGCCAGGAGCCCCTAGTAGCGTCGTCCTTGCAGGTCTTTCTTTTCCTCCCTTTCTTGTTGTTCTTTCGCCATGCATCCGTTGCTGACATCCGCAGCATTTCATTAGAAAAAGGATGCAAGCCTGTCTTTTCCTCCCTACCTTTTCTATTTCTGTCCCTTTGGTTCTTTTGACAAGTCTTTTTTCTTTCCGTTTGCTTCAGGTTGAGAAGAACCCAACTTGTGAAGCAACTGAAAGAAAGCATCATCTTTCCATCATCTTTCCCTGGATGGGCAGGATCTACGTGTGAGTCTTTCCAGGGTGAAGGGATTTGATAGTGCTTTCCTGTGAGCCTTTCTGTTTGCGTTTTGTGTGTTCACAGCGTTCACTTCAAACATGTCTCTCGCCAACTCCTGAGACGTTTTGTTCCCCGCCTGGTTGGACTGACTGCCCGCGAGGCAGCAAATGGAGCCCGTTTGCGGGTTGAACTGCTTCAATTTGCAGGTCAGCGCTCCGCACCTCGGCCGTGGATCGCGTGGGGCGCTTCTTTCCACCAAGCTGTGGCGCTGGTGGCCACAGAACACCTGGCTACCAAAAAGCTTTTGTGCCGTACAGCACTCTTCTTTGAGTTCTTATGGCTAGTGATGCACGAACTGAAGCCCACCTTGTGTTGTAAAGATTGCTAAATGAAATGAAAGGCCAACTCCAAGGAGACTTAATCACGACTTGTCCTTTGCATTGCGAATCTTTGTGGCCGCCGCCATCCGTCCAAGGCACAACTCACCTCTGGCATAGCCATCTGCCGTACTGTTGAAGGTGAAACACCTTGCGGTCAATGTACCGTTGACACGAGTGTGAGCACAGGGAAACGACGGCAAACGTCTTCAATGATCAACGATTGACATGCCTGGAGGACCTGTTCCAAGACGCAACATTCAATGTCCAATTTTTTTAAGTCCTATTTTTTTATTCTTAATTATAGTTTAGTTCAATTCTAATATCATTTGATTTAATTATATTTTAGTTTAATTCTGAATTAACTTAATACACATTTAATGTAATTCTAATTTAGCTTAATTACTTCTTGTTACTAGTAGCTACTTGCTCCTAGTAGTAGGGCCAGGAGCCCCTAGTAGCGTCCTTGCTCCTAGTAGCGATGCCCTTTGCTCCTAGTAGCGTCCTGCCCCAACTGGACTTCTCACCAAACGCAGCACCTTCCCTCGTGGCTCAGCATACCGGCTGCACAGCAACCGACGAAGGGCCCGGGGTACAGCATGAGGTTGAGACCTTAGCGAACCAACATGTGCTGTACACGGTGCTTAGAGCACAAACCAGGCACCGCATATCAACCCAACAGAAGTGGCCTCCAGCCTCCAACCTAATAGCGATGGCCTCCAACCTAGTATAGTACAGCTGGTTTTCACACAAATGTTTTACTGCCGAAGCAGCCATTCACCACGCTGGCCGGCATGGGCTCGAAATCCTTGAAGCGCAGGTGCAGCTTGGAGACATGAGTACAAACCTCAGCTAAGATCAAATCACTGATCAAATCACCATGCTTCCCCAAATCTTCCCAATGTATCCGCTTTTGAATGAACCATGCTTGAACAACCACTGATGGCTGTTCCGTTTGCTGGCCGATATGGATACTATCGTTGTTTATAGAGAGCAAGAAGAAAGGAAAAGCAATTCGATGACAGCAGCCTTCAAGGCCGTGGGTCTTGGCCTTTTACTACCCCTGACCACGGTGCGCGATGCTTTGGAACACATCTTTTTTTGGTACCTAATGATCCAAACTCCGAAGCATCTCGATGTGTCGTCCGGAACCCCAGCACTTAGCTTTTGGCCAAAGATGAAGAGCACGCTGTGTCGATGGTCATGCTGGCGCCCTGTCGACACGAACATGTCCCGAAATCCGGAAAATCAAACGGAACGTGATATTTCGCATCAACCCTCTTCCAAGGCTGTTGGAGATCTGTTCATGTGCTTTCTTGCCAAAAGTTCTGATTACCGTTCTTACACACCACCAAAAACAATGGCCCTTTCAAGAACGTGGCAGAATGCCGGCTGTTCCTAGTAGTTGCATTTTTTCTCTTTTCGTTCTTTTTTCTTTTTGGAGGCCATCCATGTCCCTTCCTCTCCGCCTTCAGATTCATCGAGTAGGAGAAGCGGTTCGACGTGATGGCATTCGCGGCCGCGGCCGCACCGTGTGCGCCGCCCAGGTCCAACATACCGGCAGCGCTCATGCCTTGGGGAGCCGAGTGAAACTTGGTCAAGCCGAAGAAAACGGAAGACCAGAAATGCTTTATTGAACAAGAATGAAGGAAAAGAAGGAACAATGAAAGGTCGAAAGAAGGAGAACAAAAGAAGACACAGAAAGAGAATCGGAACAACATACATGTCACATAATAAACATGAGGGCTAGCAAAAACTATCTTCTTTACATCAAGGTCTATCTGATAAGCGCAAGCGTCTTGGCTCTTGGCCTTAAACGACCGGTTCTTGAGAGTCCCCATGCGTCAACCACAACCATTAAGGCAAGCCTTTGCTGCCTTTGGGTGTTCAAAAGTAGCATGATGCAATAGCATTCGGTGAGGTCGTGAATGGAAAAGCTGGTGTGTTTCGCATGTTTGTTCTACCATGATCAATGGTGTGAACTCTTCGACAAGGACAACTTTGGCAAGACCGGACTGTAAGTCAGATGAAACGAACACGGTTTGTCTGCCAAACTATCATGATCCTCCCTCAGCGAGCTTTCCAAAAACAGCCTTTCCACAAAAAAAAGCGACCTCCTGAGCTTCCCAACACATCCAGTCGTCCTTATCGATGCCCACAAAGTGCCCGATGTGTTGCGCTTCCCGCTGAAGACTCCTCACAGATGTCGCAGGGGGCACCAACGACGACGGGCGCACAAGGCGAAGGATTCCTTCTCACCGACATCTGGAACGAATTCGAGGCCAAATTGTCCGGGAATGCCTAGAAATCTCTCCAAACCAGCGAAAGAAACAGCAGAACAATATGATTTTGGGGAGGTCTGCAGTCACTATTCTCAGTCCCTCTGCGGCAGTCCTCTTGTCATAGCCGCCTTCTAGCAAGGCCATGTAGGAGACTTCCATGACCTGTGACTTCCATGAGGCCATTGTCTTGGATTGATTAAATTAGAAACAAGAAGCTACTAGGAACAAGTGCATCGCTACTAGTAACAAGTGCCTTACTAGTAGTAACAAGAAGCTACTAGGAACAAGTGCATCGCTTCTAGTAACAAGTGCCTTACTAGTATAGCATCGAAACGGCTTTGACTCCTGATCTGCAACGCGCTCCGTAGTTTAATGAGCTTGATTCTTTGTGGCTGGACTCAGGCTTCGGTGGTTCGAGGACCAGGTTCGCTCTCGAATCACAATCGGAACCAAATACGGAGTTGCAGCATGCAAAAGGATTGAAAAAAAACTTTCATGACATCTCGAAGTCTCCAACGAAAAATAATACTTGAATGCCTTGTTGTTCACTGTTCGGAGAAAAAGAACGGTCTAAAGGTCTAAAGAAAACAAGCAAAGAAGCACCATCGAACCGAAAAAAACAATGGAACTTCGACTACCGTGTCACAGTGTCTATTGCCCACGCAGCCCCTGCCTGGCGCTGGCAAGGGTCCATACCCTTCGCCTCCATTGGAGAGATTTCAAAGAACTTGCAGTCGAACAAGTCCACACCTTCAATTCCGAAGCAGCCATGCCTGGCAAGAGAGGTCCATACATGAAAATACTAACGAATTAAACTTAATTTAATTGCTAATTAATAAATTAACTTAATTACTTCTTGCTCCTGACCTCTACTTGACCTCTACGGATTCAACGACTACGACCAGCTAGAACGCTTTTTCTCCTGAATTCCAAAGAAGACATGTTGGCATGAGGCCTTCAGTCTTGGCCTTACCGATCCCATCGTTGCCATCTCACCATCTTTGACATGATCCTTTCCTTTCCCTTTCCACGCTTTGCGCTACTAGGTTGGAGGCCATTCGGAGGCCATCTCCTCCGCATCTCACGTGCCAGCTCCTTTCCCCCAGCTTCGCGCAGCTCCACGCCTGGTGTAGGATCCCCCAAAGCTGCTCTCCGGATCGAAGTAGGGTCCATGGTCCCACCGCGACACCGGGATCTCCGTCAAGCCATCCGTCGAAGCCTTGGCCGCGCCCTGCCAGAACTGGAAGCGCCCGTCGGCCTGCATGCCATAGCGGCAGTACATGGCCTCACCAGCGCCGTGCCACCAAAGCGGGCTCGGAAGACAGGTAGACGTTCGGGTAGTTCGTGAATTCGTGTTTGGGTGTTTTTCATCTTTTTTTTGGGGGGGGGCTTTGGTCGCAAGTAGGTTTGGAGGCGGTTGGAGACTAGGTTGGAGGCTATCGACTAGGCCATCGCTATTTCTGTCCAGCCGGGGGGTTGGGAGAGATACTAGGAACAAGTGCCACGCTAGTAGTAACAAGTGCCTTACTAGTAGTAACAGAAAGCTATTAGAAACAAACTAGTAACAATAAGAATTGAATTAGAATTGTAGAAGAAAGGTGATTCCGCCTCACAGCAGGACACTCGGACCTGAGAGTTCAATGTGTCACAACGCTTCTCCGGTAAAAATACAAGGAAAAGAAACAACAACAGCCCAACACCACAGCAATGTACCACACAAATAACTGCTGATCTTCTGCTCTTTGCTGGTTTTGGCTGTTGTTCTTTTCGTAAAAATTGGACACACTCCGTGAATTCAAGCTAGAAGCTACTAGGGGCTCCTGGCCTTACTACTAGTAACAAAAGGACGCTACTAGGAGCAAAGGGCATCGCTAAGAACGGAGCAAGAAGCTATCATGATCCCTCCGGGCCCTCCGCGTTGTTTGACGCTTCAAAGCACCACCGCCTCAATGGTGACCTGCTCTCCGGGAGGCGCTGGTGGTCCGGTGGATTGGCCGGTCAAGTGCTCGATGTTGCCCTGGATCTCATCCTCCAAGCCTCAGAATCCAGATCAGGAAGCACAACAAATAGAAGGAATAGACTCTTGTCATGTTTTCTTGTCTTTTTTTGCTAGGATACATGCACACACTTTTTCTAAGGACGGTCATATCGAAGGCACACAAAATGTGTTTTGGAGCTCCTTGTGCCTTGGACTTCACATGAGTTCACTTTGCTACAAATAAGAAAATTCCATCTCTACAGGACTCTCTTTCAGACCATACTTCCTGTTTTCTTGTCTTGTTCTTTCTTTTGACCTTAAGTACCGTTGTCCTTTGCTTCTTCGTTCCTTTTCACGATGTTCTTCAGTTCTTCACGTAAAAAAGGTTCACATTCAAGGAGGTCCTCCCATGTTTGGACGAAAACAGCTTGTGCGCCGATTGCAGGACGTTTTGTGAGTTTAGTTCTTTGCTTTCGAAAACGAAGAGCCTGCAAAATACCAAATATGGAGCTCCAAGCATGTTCTGTTCGTAACATGTGTTCACAATCGACTGGGGTCTAGGGCCTATGGAATACTTTTGTTTACTTTTGAAGGCAGGTGGCAGTAAATGGCTGGCTCGGTGAGCATGAAGGTCTGTAGAGCCAAGGATTCCCCACTGGGCGTGTAGGAATACTCCCAGCGGCTGTTCAACATGAGCAACATGGTGTGTGGTTCCGCGCGCAGTTCAAGCTCTTCATCACCTGAAAAGAATCAACGACGACGTGACGCCAGAAAGAATGAGTTGCCACAACAAAGAAGAAGATTGCACAGCATGTCATGTCTCTCATCCACAAGGCCATACTTCAACTTGTATGCCAACCACACCGAACCGCCCAAACTCTTTCCTACACACCCTCCCTGAGAGGGACCTCCGCAGGTGACCTCCAGCCCACAAAAACGATAAAGCACCGGAATGCGTTTGAATCTCCGTCTCTTGTCTGTCTATGATCTTCCTTACCCTTTTCTGTCCAAACCTTTAGATCGTTTCTTGTTCTTTGCGACCAAATTTGTAAACAAAGGAAGCAAGAACGAAGCAATCGGCCGCTCACGTCGCCTTCCTTCAACGGCAGCAGCTTCAAGGCGCCGTCGGAGGGACCCACGAACCTGGGACCGATGCATGTTCTCTAATCAATTTTTGTTTCATCGTTTTTCATTAGATATATTTCTTCTTTTTGAGACGCGATAGGTAAGCTTAAGCAGCTAGTAGTAAGGGATAAGTAGTCAGAAAGCTCAGGCTTCTTCAAGGAAGCTCCCCCGCCGTAGTCAATCGGTTCCTAGATTTTTAGGGAACTTAAGCATTGAAGAGGCATCTGTTCTTTTCTTGCTAAGAACCTTTAAGCCGTGTCTTTCGTTCTTCTTCCGAACTTCTTCCTTTTCCTTTGTCTTCTTCTTCCATCTTCATGCACGTTTCAAGCAGACCTCGTGGCAAAACCCGCCGGGCGACTGTAGCACCGTCAACTTCCTGCGGTACATCAAGTGCATGAAGCCCTCCGCGTCTCCGTCATCGATGTCCGCAGGCGGGAACTTGTCCTGGCGACAGAAGGTAAGAAAGAAAGGTCTAAAGAGCCCAAGAAGAAGAAGAAGGAGAAGGAGCAAGGACGCTATTAGGTGGAGGCCATCGCAAGTAGGTTGGAGGCCATCGCTAACAAGAAGAACAGAATAGAAGAAGAAGGAGGAGGAGCAGGAGGAGTGAGTCAATAACGTCTTAAATGACCTCGTCCGTCACTACCACTTACAAGGAGCAGAAAAGAACATTGATGTGTTTCTTTACATTCTTTTACTTGCCCTCATCTTACCCTCATCTTTCCTCATTTTCTATTTTTCATTACCCGTTTCTCTTTTTCCCGGGTAATGTGTGATTCTTTCAGTTATCCCTCAAGCCGGACTGGGCTCCACCGCCCCCCGTCCTCCTCATGGTCGGCCAGCGGCATCCGCAAGAGCATCTCCTAGCCAGGCGAAGTCTCTCTGTGGGGGTCGACCCGCGTCGACGAGTTGATAACGCACATGCTTCCTAGGAGCTTCTTGTTCCTAGTAGCGTCCAAAGACCTACTAATAGCGTCCTTGCTACTAGTAGCTTCAAAGACCACTCCTAGTAGCTTCTTGTTACAGGTGAAACGATTCCCAGTGAAACGATTCCCCAGGAAGCTTCTAGCTGCGAGGGGAGATGAGTGGGGGAGGTGAAACGAGATGAGTGAACCCAGCAACGAAGCCACTCCGACCCCTTCCAAGCCAAGCATCGGTTCGGCTGTAAACCTCAAAGCCTAGATGTTCTTCCGAGTACTTGGACAACATGCTACACATCTGCCCGAAGTTGTTGTCCATGGTCTTCAGGGGCGACTGCTTGATGTAGTCAGGTGTGTCCGGGGCGTCCAAGCCGATGTGCAAAGTCTTGGCATTGCCATCATCTCCCAGGTAGCCACGCTCGAACTCGATGGCCAGCCGGCTAAACTGCTGATCGTCATCTAAACGTTTCGCTACATCCTGAGTACAGCGTGGAAGAAAACTGCACGAAGATGTACAGCGACTTCTGCAATTCGTAAGGTTTCGCTTGCAACTTCAGGGGAAGGACATTCAAACAGTGTGCATTCACTTGGCCGATCACTTCAAGGGTTGTTAGTGGGAGATGCAAAGGCTCACCCCCTTGAAAGGCGCCCACAGGTAGCATATTGAAAGAAAACACATTGAAAAAAATTGAAGAAAAGAACGTGAACACCTCCTTCTGTTCTGAAATGATAAAACCATATAAACTCCTGCTGTGCCGACCATCCCAAGTGTCCAGCATCGCAGCGGCATCTTCCTCTGCCACGATGAGCTTCACGAGGGCGTAACCCTTGGTGGCCAGAGCCGCGGTGATCTCTTGGCCGCTCAGGTCGTAGTCGGACTTGGGGCCAAGCACAAAATCCTTGGGACCGAGCATGACGGTCGTAGTCGTCTAGACCTAAATCGGAAAGGAAGAGGAGAAGGTCCGAGAAGAATAGAGGAAGATAAACAAGGAAGAAAGAAACAAGGAATTCCAGACCTACAGCCTCAAGAGAGGCAGGCCGCAAGAGCTTGCCAAGAATCCACCCTACCAAGAACTAGGAGTATGTTTGGAGTACACTCGGAGTCATGAGCGCCTTGGGAAACAAGGTCTTGCAGCTTGCAGGTAGAGTATCTGTGTTCATTCAAACCTGGTTTGCGAAGGCATTGTCAATAGCAGTCTGTCAACCATCTCTTGGGATTGGATTTCCACCCATAGGATTTGAGACCCAGATATTGCTAAAATTGTCATTGTCAAAACCATTGGAGTTAAGCTAGATTTCTCACCAATTTCTGCAGATCACCCCCCACCTGGAGAGTCACCCGTGCTCGTGCTCCAAATACACCATGAGAAAACAAGAACAACACACAACCTTCTGGCGATGGCCTCCAACCGTGCGTAGCTTCTTGTTACTAGTAGTACGGCCAGGAGCCCCTAGTAGCTTCTTGCTCCTAGGAGCGATGCCCTCGTTACGAGTAGCTTCTTGTTACGTTCGTAGTAATGGACTGCAACCTACTAGCGATGGCCTCCACACACCACACACCAACCAGCTGACCGCCGAGTCGAGCATCGTAGTTCGCGACCGCCTCCGACGTCACGGGCTTCACTTGCTGCCCGTCGATGGCGATGGTGCGCCCCGAGAAGGTGGCGGCGATCCACTTCTGGAGCCCCTGCGACGGCGAGGAATGCGCGACGGCGTGGGTTCGGAGAATCCGACGGACCGACCCGAAGAGGAGAAATCCATAAACAAAACCTGTGTTTTTTCCAGGAAACGCTGGAGGAGAAGTGCCTTCTTTTCTGGAGAAGGTTTAGTTTTTGTGTTAAGTTTATTTTGGCGGAACATAAACTATGCCAAGTTCCTACCTTCTCTCTCAGGTCGTACTACTAGGAGCAAGAAGCTACTAGCAACGAAAGGCATCGCTACCGATAACAAGGAAGCTATTAGGGGGTAGGCCGTCTCAGGTCACCCGTGCAGACCCCGACCACCCGATCGGCCTTGTCGAAGTGCAGCAGCTGCGCGGAGTCTCCGTTGAGGTCCACCGCTTGGACCCCAAGCACTGCGGCCGAAGGCACGGGAGTGGCCTTCCCCGGCAGGCCGCTGATATCCACCAAGCTGCCTGCTGTTCGACCGCACGTCTTTGGTGAATGTTTTGGGACATATGACATATGATGTTTATCATCATGTTCAAGTTGGGGCACGTTTTGGACACTTCCTTCTTCGAGTATTCCGTTCTTTCCGGTTGGTAACAAGAACAGTGCTCTGAACAAGAACGTTTCTTTACACAATGCATCAAAGCATGCATTTCCTCGAACGCTTTCTGGAACGGATGAGTCACATTTTCGACTGCGACTTGGCACGTGTTGGGTTTCACAGGAAGCTGACAGGGAGGGTATGTGTTGGCATTTTACCAAGCAGTTCTCTTCTTGCAAAATCATTAAGTATCGAGGCCATTAGGTGGAGGCATCTGTGACATGACGAGACACCTGGGAAATACGCCATGACTCCCACGCGCCGCGTAAGTAGAGTTGATAGAGTCCAGGCGGACAATGTGATTCTGGATGAGCGAAGTGGAACATCTAAAAGAACATGTAAAAAAACACATCGTTGAAGTCACAAAGACTTTTCTGAAACCTAACATGCCCAAGCTCTGACTGTGATTCATGGGCACTTCGTCGTCCGCCTGAGTGAGCCACAACGAGCGATTCAGGAACCTCAAATGCAGCAAATCATGCCTTGCGTCCTTTGCTGAGTTGCCATCATGCATCTTGCCAATACGAAACGCGCACATTTGCCTTTCAAAGGCCCTGATCAGTCTTGAAACGTGGGCACGGCATGTCTATGCACAAATGGTGAGCATTCCCAGCTTCACTCGGGCGAAGATTCGCGTTGGCATTGCCTCACTAGTAGTAACAAGAAGCTAATAGAAACAAAAAGCTACTAGGAACAAGTGCCTTACTAGTAGTAACAAGAAACTATTAGACACAATAAGCTACTAGGAACAAGTGCCTTACTAGTAGTAACAAGAAGCTATTGGCAGTGCAAGCAAAGTAACATGTAAAACATGTACTCTCCAACGAACACATCACATGGAAGTGGAGTTCCCACCCTGTTTACAGATAGGAACGTCGTCTTCTAAGACGGCTTTACCATTTGGGCTTCCATGTGGATGTGTTCCTCTAGTGGAAGGACACAATGACGTACACGAGGACACGCGATCGTTCGCACGAATGCGAAGGATGGAGAACATGGAAACTGAACAACTATAGCGATGGCCTGCGATGGGGCTGGTGCTCCACCCACCAGTCGGCAAACTCGCTTTTGTTGAAGAACTTTTTGGCGACCTCAGTTGTTGCACTTTGACGGAGTCATGAGGTTGACACCGAGGACAATTAGTTTCACCTGTCAAAAAAAGAACGTGAGGGTGAATCACTGCAGTAATTCATACGCCAGGGTGATGTTGCAGTCCATTTTTTGGGGGACATTCACTGAAGATATTTGGGGGTTGGCTTTGGCCTTCATTTGGTACTACAGCATACAGTGGCATTGTATGGCATTGTAACATTGTAGTGGGAACGAGGTAACTGCATTGAAGGAAACATCTAGGTGGCGTCGACTTGACCCCAAGAAAGCTTGATGTTGCAGACCTTGTCATCCTGCAGCGTGTAGGCAATGTTCTTGCATGCCAATAGGACGGGCAGGCCCTGGCAAAGCATCTGACGATACGCAAAAAACACACATTTCAATGAGTTTGAGTGGCGCGGTGAGCAATTACCGGCTTTGGCAGTTCTGGCTCACTTGTGTATATACTTGATTGTACTTGTATATTGAATCATTCTGGCGTCCAATCTTCCGGTGATTTCGCTAGCATGGTTTCGGAGATGTCACAACAAATAAAAATTGTCGTCACCCTGAATCGCCCTGAATACAATACGTTCCAACTAGTCATGTCGCATCTGCAATCTAGTGACTCTACCGCACACCCATGCCTCCGCATTTTGTCCGAAGGTCCGAGCCTCGTGCGCATTCTGGTCCTCTGCCCGGGCAGCGGCGGCCGAGGCCTTGTCAGCCTCCACAAGCATTGGGGATGTTGGCCGGTTTGATTGAAGGGATGGGCTCACATTGTGCACATGGGGAAGATCAGGTATGCTCATCATAAAGCTGCGAAGTGCCAAACGTTTGAAAGCTTACCTCTTCCTAATCAAAAATAAATGGGATCAACAAATAGAATAAAGTGTTCTAGAAAATTAATGAAAACAAGATTATATAACTAACCCAGCATGCCATATCATCTCCACGCGCAAAGTTATTTTCATGACATGATGTCGATCTACATGACATTGGTGTTGAAAGGCTTGGTCCGATTTGGCCACCAACCTCGGCTTCGACCAATCATGACCGGCTTCACTCGAGATGGCTTCGTGTTCAACGCCTCGCTGGCCGTTTGCAGCTCTTCAAAACGTTTGGCCACCGCTTTCTCATGCTCCTCAGGAGACCAAAGACCCCGAGCCACACGAGCCAGGTGACGCGAGAATTGCGGGCAAAAAAGGTCTGGTTTTTTGGTGGTGACATATGAGGATTCAGGATTCACTTCTTTGCTGGTTCCCAATTCACTGAATGACTTTGTAACAGTAGCGTACGGTCTCGGAATCGATCCCCAACTCACGTCGTTGAAGGGACTCGGAAGAGAATGGTCGCTTGGATCAGGGTACTGTAATGTACTGTATACAGAGCGAGCTCCATGCGAGGACACTTGACAAACATCACATCATCCTCAATCATCATTTTTGTCTTGGACCGTGTGGGTCCAGAGGTGAAAGGTGAAGAAACTCCTGGCTATCATTAAAAAAATATATATATACTTATGGCTCGAAGGACTCATGTCCAGGAAACACCTCAATTGAATCGGTAATGGAGCACCAGTGGCCAGTGGTGTTCGCCATGCAAGGACATCATTGACATCAGTAGAGCCCTCATGGCGTCCTGCGTCTTCTCAACGAGGGCTTTGTGCTCGCTAGTCTGAGCAAATCGCGCAAACAACTTTGGCACCCCTGTAGATTCTCTATCCCAGCCTTCAAAGTTGTGATTCACCACAAAAAGTCGGCCAAATTTAGTTGAATCATGTTGAGTCGATTAAGTGTTCAAGCTTTGACAGTGACACCAATCTCTCTTTGGATGCGAGCGCTTCCTCGCCTGGGCGGCTAGACCTGGCATGTTGTCCCGCCGGTGAAAGAAACTGTGAGAACGGTCAAAACAATCATAAATGTGGGGGTTGATTGAGTTCATCTTTATAGACATCTTTGACTGGAATAAGCCCAAGTATAGAAATCTCATGAAATCGAGTCCATCTCAGGTCGTTCAGCCTTGAGGTTGTCCGTCTGATCCAAGCGAGTCATTTGAGTGCCGCGACGGACGCGCCGCAGTCGCCAGCCGCTCGGCCGCGCCTTCTCTCAGCGCCGCCTCACACGCCATGGCTTGGGTCCTCTCCTCCAGCATCTTAGCCTGTCGGCGACTCCGTCGGGAAACATGAAACACAGAAACACAATCGTTTCACATAAATGGCATAATATAACCAGACCCGAAAGGGGTTGTCTCTTGAGGAATACATCTGATATCATCTGATCATCACTAAACTATACAAATGTTTCACAGTTCACAACAACCCACTCTCATCGGCTTGACCCGAGGGTCTGGAGGTCCGACCTTCGAGATGGACTCGATTGAAGCTATCAACATCCTATCTGGCAAGCGTGCCCTTTTAGAAAACCTAAGACTGGCTGGTGCAGGCTGCTGATTTTTCTCCACGGAATTCAGACGGGGTAGAATCGGTGGAGACCTTTTGTGCTTTCTGACTTTGGAACAATGCCGGCCTCGGCATTCTTAGACTCTGCCATCATGTTTTGCGTTGATGATGTGCTTACCTGAGCCACAGCATGTCAATGCTTTACGAGCCTCCTGATGGCATGACCTTCACCTGTCTACATCATGAATTTTCACGATGACAAACCTCGCCATTGACATCCATTAACCATCCCCGATCTACCTAAAAATGCAATCCAATCCTGCCTCTCTTCCCTGCTTACAAGCTCACTTGGAAATGAAAAACATCGCTACCACAAATGTTTACGTCACATTCACTGTTCCACGAGTTGTGTCTAAAGCTGACTAATCATTGTCCTTGAGTTCACCAACCCTGCCGCAGTGCAATCAAAGAGGCTTATTGCATGCAATGGCAATGGGTGTGCATAACCATATACTGTATATATATATATATTAAACAGAGAGACAGATAGATATATACACACGATGCTTGGTTTGTGAATGTGTGTTACATGAACAAAACCTCTATAATACCTCTATATAGGAGCAATTGAACCCAGGATCATTACTCTCTCTATATATATATATATAAAAAGTCATTTATGATTGACCGCTCGGAGACGCCGGTGGATCCCTTGCAGCGGCACCTTGGCGCTCTTGGAGATCTCCGCCAGTGCGGCCTGGTCGCTCCCAGCGAGCCATACGGAGCCATACCGGCGACCGGTTCGAACCAAAGCCTCTCCAACCGAATAGCAAAAGAAACCTAGTAGTGATGGCCTCCACCCTAGTAGCAATTGGTGTATTACTGAGCAAAAATCAAGGGCACATATCACATGACCTGTCTTGGTCCCTGACCAGCAATTCCAAGTCAAGAACGACAGAAAAATACAAACATTGCCACACGGCCACACTCAATTATATAAAGCTTCAACTGAAGGCGCTCTCACTTTTCTCTGCTGCTTGCAGGT